AATTAGTGAATCAGTGGTGGGTGAACGAGTGAAATTAATGAATGAAAGAAAAAGAGATTAAAATAAGAGCGAAACAGAGGAAGGGATGAGAAAGAGAGAGAGAGAGAGAGAGAGAGAGAGAGAGAGAGAGAGAGAGAGAGAGAGAGAGAGAGAGAGAGAGAGAGAGAGAGAGAGAGAGAACAAAACAAGAGAAAGAGACAAGAGAGAAAATTTGTCAGAAAAATCGAGAGCGAACGAGAGTGAGAGAAAGATTTTGTGAGTCAGTGGTGAGTGAACTAGTGAAATGGATGAATGCTAGAAAGAGATCGAAATAGAGAGAGAAACAGACGAAGGGACGAGAAAGGTAGAAAGACAAATGAGAGGGAGTGTTTGTGTGTCAGAGAGAGAGTGTGAAAGATACAGGGAAAGCGAGAACGAGAGTGAGAGAGAGAAACAGTAAGTCATTTGTGAGTCACTATGTGAAATGAATTCATATAAGAAAGAGACAGGCACAAGAAAGAAATAGAGAGACAGCGGGAGACACGAAAGAGAGAAAGAGACATGCTCGAGTGAATGAGTATGAGGTGCGTGAGAGAAAGATAATTAATAAGGTTAATTAATACCAATATGATAAAACGTACACACAAAACGTATACAATAAATAATCGAATAAACTGATTTAATATGACATTTTCTTTATAAGCTGAAATAATAATTGAAATTGGATGACATAATTATTTATTACGATCGCTTAAGATATTTGAGTATAAATAATTAAGGTCCTGGGTTGTAATCCCGGCGTAATTCTTGGTTTTTTAATTGAAAATAGTATGGGAAATATATTGTAAATTTTTTGGCCCCTCATCTGCGACACCTAAAGTGTTAGGACGACTATTTTTTAGCATTTATGAGTATTATTTTATTCTTTTCTAAAATAAATGTAAAATTTAAAAAAATATATTTATTATTATAACCATTGCCAATGTTCTTAAATTATAAAAACGATTAATAACCCAATTTAAAAGTAAATTGTTTGGCTTTTGATTTAATTTAAATGGACAGTTTCCAATTATTTTTGTGTTATTTTGCTTTAGCTAACGCGTTTGTGTTTATTACATATTAACTGATTATATTATTTGTAAGTTATAAATGGCTGTTCCTGGCTTCTGAAATGCTGAGAATGCCAAACGGCATAACATTGAAAATTTAGCACACAATGCCGATAACATTAATTTGATTTGATAGTATAGTTAGCATTGCTAAATAACAATACAAACCGTTGCATAAACTTGTTCCGAGTCCGTGTCTCGAAAGTTTTATAATTTGTTATATTTATGTTTCAAAAATTATGGTGTGCGGGACCGAGGAAGTCATGATTATACGGTATCTCGTGGATCTTCGGGCAGACCTTGAATGTAAAGCCTTGGTTGTTGTTTTTACCACATATTACATAACAAAATGTTGACGGTTTTTTAATCAAATAAAACGAAGAAAAATTTATGTTGGAATATACAATATTGATTGGTTTGACAATAAAAAGGCGAGCTTTTACGAAAGCTGGTTTACTTGTTGTATGCAAGTTCTAATAACGGAGTTATAAAATAGGTCATAAATAGATTGCTCTGGTTCCAAAATTCTAACTTTTGTTTTGTTATTTTTCGATTTGAATTTGTATAGACTGAAATACGCATATGAACGTACATACATACGAACAAGTGCCGAGTTGAGCCTATTGGGTTCTCGTAGTCCCCAGGCAATTCCAGCTTTTTATATTTACAGTAAATTGCCGGAAGACATGAGAATCACCAACACGGGGTGTTGGCAGTCCGGGGGCAGACCTCAGTATTATCTGTCCGGCCACCGAGGTTCGGGTCCAGGGGGTTGTTAAAAGCTAGCTAATTCAGCACCTAACGACTACAGTTCCAAACCCACTCATTCTCACGTTCATTCTTAAATATTTTGACTCCTATTTACGTACCGTTCTTTCCATTAGGGTGGTGGAGACTCGATATTCCTCCATCACCTTTCACACATATTGTACAGCTAGCCTAATTGAGGGTCCGTTTTTGTTATGTGTCTGTCAATTGAAATATTAGGGGTATTCACGATCTTTGTGTTAACCCTGTTAACTCTGTTAAGTCCTGTTAAATCGAGAAAAATGATGACGTAGAATTGTAAGAATCGGCTAGTTAACATTGCTCGATTAAACAGGCCAGGGCCAATGTTAGATGTTAGGTCGAAAATGTAGTCACATTGCTAGCCGTTAGGGCGTAGGTAACCAACATGGCAGCCATGAATTTCATAGCTGTTTTTTGTTTACGCGTCTTTTTATTCTTAAAAAAGTATAAATTCAACCAGACCAATACATTTCTTTTGTTAATTTCTGACCTGTCCTTATACTCTCATTTATAAAAGGTGACATCTCATATATTATAAAATTGTAGGCAGTTAGACCTTAGGTTACAGGTTAGGTATGTCGGCATTAATTGAAGCGTATCATTTGTTAGTACTTGTCGAGTGCATAAATAGCATTTTGAATGAAAGAGTTGATTAAGATTCAGTTTTTATTAACTTCTGGCATCTTACAATTTAACAGAAAAGAAAACCAAAAAAAAAAGCAACACCAAACCGTCAACGACTGTTATAGCTTTATTTTTGGTTCTCCCAATCGCCACGAGCAGCATTGTGAAAAAATTAACGTTTAACACCATCTTACAAAAATCGTGAATACCCCTATTATTTGTCTCTGTAGTTCTGTATTTTCGTGATGCTATGCCAATAATGATAAAATATCATTTATACTGATACTTAAGTATACTTTATATTTCGAAGGAATAATATACAAATCAGGAGAAATTAAAACTACTCAGTATGGTTAGGGATGGCAAGGTTACTCGATACGGTGATTATACAACGTGCAACAACTGCATAAACTTATATGATTTAATCGTTACAAATTTTAACAACAAATTCCAACAACTAATAAATTCGATATAAAAAACGGCGCGCGCAATTAAACGATCAAAAAATTTATGATATGTCATCACATACAAGTAGAAACTAATAAAAAATGCTCAATTCACAACTATATCGAAAGGTACGTACAAATTAATTAATCTATCTACACTGAAAGGCAATAAAGTGACAACCCTTAATATTTTTAATTAAAGATTATTTAGCGATCATGAGATGCGGTTTGATGTGACGAAGGTTTTATGAAAACATTTTCTTTATCGTGCCAACGTTTCGATTTTTATTGAGATCATCTTCAGGGCCTGGGATTTATAAACATTGTTTAAATTTTACAAACACATGTAGGATATGAAAAAAAATGAATTTATACAATGCTAAAAATTTTAGATTCAATCAAAGTATTTGTACAACTACTGTTTAAAAAAAAAAAAAAATATATATATATATATATATATATATATATAGCGGTCATAAATTATTTTTTTAATTAAATTTATTTATAAAAACTGGTCTTATTAGACCAACCATTAATTAATTTAATAATATACATAGAATAAATAAATGTTTAAATTCTTATAAACTCATTGGTACAATAAGATGTATATTTCACTATCCACAAATTGTTAACTACAATAGTTCATATGGCTTGTTCTTTTTAATCGTTTGAGTCTGTTTCGGTTATGTAGGAGGACGCTTCCACATTCTCGTGCAGGCTGAGGCGAGACTGGTGTACGGCGGCAAATCTTTGTATTTCCGCCGTGACCTCCGGGATCTTAAGATCCAAGTCCTTATTCCTTAAGTACCAAGGTGCAATGACTACGTTACGTAAGATTTTATGTTGGAGTGTTTGTATGATTTTGATATTGCTGTGTTTGGTACAACCCCATAGTTGAATACCACATATCGACATAGGCTTTAGGACGAGCTTCTATAATAATAGGGGTATTCAGGATCTTTGTGTTAACCCTGTTAACTCTGTTAGGTCCTATTACATCGAGAGAAATGATGACGTAAATTTGTAGGAACCAGCTAGTAAACATTGCTCGATCTAACAGTCCAGGGCCGATGTTAAATGTTAGGTAGAAAACGTAGTCACATTACTATCCGTTAGGGCGTAGGTAACCAATATGGCAGCCATGAATTTAACAGCTGTTTTTTGTTTACACGTATTTTTATTCTCAAATACGCAATTATTAAATCACACCAATACATTTATTTTGCTCATTTCTGACCTGTCCTTGTATAGATACATCCTATATATACAACTTTATAGGATATGGGATGTATCTATATGAATGTGCTGTTAGACGTTAGGATACAAGGTCGGTACGAATTGAAGTGTGTCATTTGTTAGTACTTGCTCAAGTGCATAGCTAGTCATAGTATTTTGAATGAAAGTGTGGATTAATTTTTCTTTTTTATTAACTTCTGTCATCTTACAATTTAACACAAAAGAAAACCAAAACAAACAAGAACAAGCCTTCAAGGACTGTTATAGCTTTATTTTTGGTTCTGCCAATCACCACGCGCAGCATTGGGAAAAAACACAATATGCACATGCTAAGAAAAGAAGAGCATTCACGATCTTACAGTCATTTCTATAGTCGAGTTAACACGAGTTAACATCTTACAAACATCGTGAATACTAGACTACTCTGACGTTCAACTCAAGCCGAAGTTGTGTTGCAGTCGCGTCGGATTCATGCGTCGACCGCAAGTCGCCCATCTATGGAGCGTCTCTCCAGACGTCACACCCACCCCAGAATAAACCTCTGTAAACAGCCAAATTACAAATTGATTTTTTTCTGGTTTGTTTGTCTTGAGATTAAGTGCAATTATTTCATAGCCTAATAGGTCTTTCAATGACAGGAAAAAACGTTGATTCGGCAAGGCGACAAAAAAATCTCCTATCCCTAAATTAAAATCCAATTGTTGAAGGTCGGAAAGAAGAAGAAAGAGTCAGTATTGCTAAGAGGGGAGGCGCTCGAGTCCGGCGAGTGGGGACGGCATCCTGTTCAGTATCATACAAAATGTTAAATTGATACTGCTGTAATGCTACCCAACAACAATGACCGGCTCTTCACTAGCACTCGCCCTGCTGGCTTTCTTGATATGTAAGTTGTTTAATTCAATCATCTGGGAAGACGAGAAGGGTAAAATCAGAAACATCATAATTTATCATTTCTCTTCGTTTGAACGAATCTGCACGACCGACAAAATTTCAAACGAAGCTAATTCAGCCAGTTGATCTAGTTGATAAAAAATCGGCCAAATGACGATAAAACTTGAATATCTAATATAAAAAGAAGCTGGTGTTCAAAGGAAAAAAATCATCTTTCAAATAGCTGCACTAAATACTATTTACAACTAATTCGAAAAATGTATCTGGTTAAAAATAACAAACACAACATACGGCTACATAATAGAGGGTTATCCATATTTACATGCATTATTGGCTGAACGCAAGCACTAATAAGCACATAAAAACACGTGCGCACCCCAATATTTCATTTAATATTGTTAGCCGTTTTTTTAATTCTAGAAACATTATTTTTATATATTTTATTACAGCCAGATGTTTTCTTTTATCATCTTCATATAATTTAAGTAATTAATCAAATATCGAATAAGCCTGTTTAGCTTCATGCATTGTAGTTTGGATACATTATCAAACAAATTTATTTAAGAGTGACAAAATACAGTTTTGTTCAATACAAAACCTTGTTGCTTTTCCTTCAACGGTAAAGTGGGTGTCCTAGCAACATTTGCGTATTTCATTTTGTTTAAAAAGTAAAAGTTCGTTATTATATATTTTGATTGTACATATTAATAATTTAAATGAATGATTTTTAACATTCGCCAAACACACGTACACACACAAAGGAAAAAGTGTGGGGTGAGAGAGAGAGAGAGAGAGAGAGAGAGAGAGAGAGAGAGAGAGAGAGAGAGAGAGAGAGAGAGAGAAAGAGAGATAGAGAGAAAATGAGTGAGTTAGTCACTAGTGAGCGAGTGAGTGAAATGAATGAATAAAAAAAGAGAAAGAGCTGAGGGAGAGAAAGATGTAAACATAGAGAGAGGTGTGTGAGAGAGAGAGAGAAAAGAGAGAAAAAATTGTAAGAGTGAGTGGGAGAGAGAATGAGAGGGTGCGTAAGTGAAAGAGGGATAGAGAGAGAATTAGTGAGTCAGTGGTGAGCGAACGAATGAAATGAATGAAAGGAAGAGATTGAAATAGAGAGAGAAACAGAGGAAGGGACGAGAAAACTCTGTGTGTGTGTGTGTGTGTGTGTGTGCGCGTGCGTGCGTGCGAGAGAGAGAGAGAGAGAGAGAGAGAGAGAACAAAACCAGAGGGAGAGAGAGGAGAGAGAGTGAGAGAGAGAGAATCAGTGAGTTAGTCACTAGTGAGTGAATGAGAAAAATGAATGAATAATAAAAGAGTAAGAACTGAGAGAGAGGAAGAGGTGAAAATAGAGAAAGAACAAAAAATCTAAGAGTGAGGTGGAGAGAGAAAGAGAGGAAGAGTGTGAGTGAGTGAAAGAGAAAGAGCGAGAGCGAAAGAGAGTGAGTGAAAGAATTAGTGAATCAGTGGTGGGTGAACGAGTGAAATTAATGAATGAAAGAAAAAGAGATTAAAATAAGAGCGAAACAGAGGAAGGGATGAGAAAGAGAGAAAGAGAGAAAGAGAGAGAAAGAGAGAGAGAGAGAGAGAGAGAGAGAGAGAGAGAGAGAGAGAGAGAGAGAGAGAAAGAGAACAAAACAAGAGAAAGAGACAAGAGAGAAAATTTGTCAGAAAAATCGAGAGCGAACGAGAGTGAGAGAAAGATTTTGTGAGTCAGTGGTGAGTGAACTAGTGAAATGGATGAATGCTAGAAAGAGATCGAAATAGAGAGAGAAACAGACGAAGGGACGAGAAAGGTAGAAAGACAAATGAGAGGGAGTGTTTGTGTGTCAGAGAGAGAGTGTGAAAGATACAGGGAAAGCGAGAACGAGAGTGAGAGAGAGAAACAGTAAGTCATTTGTGAGTCACTATGTGAAATGAATTCATATAAGAAAGAGACAGGCACAAGAAAGAAATAGAGAGACAGCGGGAGACACGAAAGAGAGAAAGAGACATGCTCGAGTGAATGAGTATGAGGTGCGTGAGAGAAAGATAATTAATAAGGTTAATTAATACCAATATGATAAAACGTACACACAAAACGTATACAATAAATAATCGAATAAACTGATTTAATATGACATTTTCTTTATAAGCTGAAATAATAATTGAAATTGGATGACATAATTATTTATTACGATCGCTTAAGATATTTGAGTATAAATAATTAAGGTCCTGGGTTGTAATCCCGGCGTAATTCTTGGTTTTTTAATTGAAAATAGTATGGGAAATATATTGTAAATTTTTTGGCCCCTCATCTGCGACACCTAAAGTGTTAGGACGACTATTTTTTAGCATTTATGAGTATTATTTTATTCTTTTCTAAAATAAATGTAAAATTTAAAAAAATATATTTATTATTATAACCATTGCCAATGTTCTTAAATTATAAAAACGATTAATAACCCAATTTAAAAGTAAATTGTTTGGCTTTTGATTTAATTTAAATGGACAGTTTCCAATTATTTTTGTGTTATTTTGCTTTAGCTAACGCGTTTGTGTTTATTACATATTAACTGATTATATTATTTGTAAGTTATAAATGGCTGTTCCTGGCTTCTGAAATGCTGAGAATGCCAAACGGCATAACATTGAAAATTTAGCACACAATGCCGATAACATTAATTTGATTTGATAGTATAGTTAGCATTGCTAAATAACAATACAAACCGTTGCATAAACTTGTTCCGAGTCCGTGTCTCGAAAGTTTTATAATTTGTTATATTTATGTTTCAAAAATTATGGTGTGCGGGACCGAGGAAGTCATGATTATACGGTATCTCGTGGATCTTCGGGCAGACCTTGAATGTAAAGCCTTGGTTGTTGTTTTTACCACATATTACATAACAAAATGTTGACGGTTTTTTAATCAAATAAAACGAAGAAAAATTTATGTTGGAATATACAATATTGATTGGTTTGACAATAAAAAGGCGAGCTTTTACGAAAGCTGGTTTACTTGTTGTATGCAAGTTCTAATAACGGAGTTATAAAATAGGTCATAAATAGATTGCTCTGGTTCCAAAATTCTAACTTTTGTTTTGTTATTTTTCGATTTGAATTTGTATAGACTGAAATACGCATATGAACGTACATACATACGAACAAGTGCCGAGTTGAGCCTATTGGGTTCTCGTAGTCCCCAGGCAATTCCAGCTTTTTATATTTACAGTAAATTGCCGGAAGACATGAGAATCACCAACACGGGGTGTTGGCAGTCCGGGGGCAGACCTCAGTATTATCTGTCCGGCCACCGAGGTTCGGGTCCAGGGGGTTGTTAAAAGCTAGCTAATTCAGCACCTAACGACTACAGTTCCAAACCCACTCATTCTCACGTTCATTCTTAAATATTTTGACTCCTATTTACGTACCGTTCTTTCCATTAGGGTGGTGGAGACTCGATATTCCTCCATCACCTTTCACACATATTGTACAGCTAGCCTAATTGAGGGTCCGTTTTTGTTATGTGTCTGTCAATTGAAATATTAGGGGTATTCACGATCTTTGTGTTAACCCTGTTAACTCTGTTAAGTCCTGTTAAATCGAGAAAAATGATGACGTAGAATTGTAAGAATCGGCTAGTTAACATTGCTCGATTAAACAGGCCAGGGCCAATGTTAGATGTTAGGTCGAAAATGTAGTCACATTGCTAGCCGTTAGGGCGTAGGTAACCAACATGGCAGCCATGAATTTCATAGCTGTTTTTTGTTTACGCGTCTTTTTATTCTTAAAAAAGTATAAATTCAACCAGACCAATACATTTCTTTTGTTAATTTCTGACCTGTCCTTATACTCTCATTTATAAAAGGTGACATCTCATATATTATAAAATTGTAGGCAGTTAGACCTTAGGTTACAGGTTAGGTATGTCGGCATTAATTGAAGCGTATCATTTGTTAGTACTTGTCGAGTGCATAAATAGCATTTTGAATGAAAGAGTTGATTAAGATTCAGTTTTTATTAACTTCTGGCATCTTACAATTTAACAGAAAAGAAAACCAAAAAAAAAAGCAACACCAAACCGTCAACGACTGTTATAGCTTTATTTTTGGTTCTCCCAATCGCCACGAGCAGCATTGTGAAAAAATTAACGTTTAACACCATCTTACAAAAATCGTGAATACCCCTATTATTTGTCTCTGTAGTTCTGTATTTTCGTGATGCTATGCCAATAATGATAAAATATCATTTATACTGATACTTAAGTATACTTTATATTTCGAAGGAATAATATACAAATCAGGAGAAATTAAAACTACTCAGTATGGTTAGGGATGGCAAGGTTACTCGATACGGTGATTATACAACGTGCAACAACTGCATAAACTTATATGATTTAATCGTTACAAATTTTAACAACAAATTCCAACAACTAATAAATTCGATATAAAAAACGGCGCGCGCAATTAAACGATCAAAAAATTTATGATATGTCATCACATACAAGTAGAAACTAATAAAAAATGCTCAATTCACAACTATATCGAAAGGTACGTACAAATTAATTAATCTATCTACACTGAAAGGCAATAAAGTGACAACCCTTAATATTTTTAATTAAAGATTATTTAGCGATCATGAGATGCGGTTTGATGTGACGAAGGTTTTATGAAAACATTTTCTTTATCGTGCCAACGTTTCGATTTTTATTGAGATCATCTTCAGGGCCTGGGATTTATAAACATTGTTTAAATTTTACAAACACATGTAGGATATGAAAAAAAATGAATTTATACAATGCTAAAAATTTTAGATTCAATCAAAGTATTTGTACAACTACTGTTTAAAAAAAAAAAAAAATATATATATATATATATATATATATATTCTACATGCTTCATACAAAATATTACGTGTAATACAATAACCATAAATATAATATTTTTAATTATCTCTTAAACAATCTTCTTACAATAGTATTTGCTTCGTTTGAAAGGATTAGAGGTAAATAAAACACAG